CTGGTGCTACACCTCAAACAGCTAGAAAAAGAAGAGCAAGTCAAGTCCAAAGCCAAAAGAAGAGAGGAAATTACAAAAATCAGAGCAGAAATCAATGCAATAGAGACTAAGAAAACAATCCAAAGAATCAACGAATCCAAGAGTTGGTTCTTTGAAAGAATAAATAAAATCGATAAGCCCCTAGCCAACCTTATTACAAAAGGGAAGAAAAAGCTCAGATTCATGCAATAAGAAATGAAAAAGGTGAAATCACTACAGACCCAATAGAAATACAGAAGATCATCAACACCTATTTCGAAAACCTCTACTCTCAAAAGTTTGATAACACAGAAGAAATAGATTCTTAGAAACATATGAAATACCAAAGCTAGATCGAGAGGATGTAAAACTGTTGAATAACCCAATCTCTGTTAATGAAATTGAAAATGTAATTAAGTCCTTACCTACAAAGAAGAGCCCAGGCCCAGACGGATTCACTGCAGAATTCTACAAGAAATACAAAGAAGACCTAATGCCGACACTCCTCAAACTATTCCATGAAATTGAAAGAGAAGCAATTCTTCCTAAGTCATTCCTGGAAGCAAATATTATTCTAGTACCAAAACCTGAGAAAGACCCAACTAAAAAAGAGAACTATAGACCGATCTCCCTAATGAACACAGAGGCAAAAATCCTCAATAAAATATTGGCAAATAGGATGCAGCTAATCATCAAGAAGATTATACACCATGACCAAGAGGGATTCATCCCAGGAATGCAAGGATGGTTCAACATACGTAAATCAATAAATGTAATCCACCATATCAATAAAGCCAAAAGTAAGAATCACATGATCATTTCTATAGATGCAGAAAAAGCCTTCGATAAGGTCCAACATTTATTCATGATGAGAACTTTACAGAAAATCGGAATAGATGGTCTTTACCTCAATATAATAAAGGCCATTATGACAAACCAACAGCCAGCATCATACTAAATGGCCAAAAATTGAAAGCCTTTACTTTAAAATCAGGCACAAGACAAGGATGTCCTTTATCACCACTCCTATTTAATATAGTACTGGAAGTACTAGCCAGAGCAATTAGGCAAGAGAGAGAAATAAAAGGGGTAAAGACAGGAAAAGAAGAAGTTAAATTATCATTATTTGCAGATGAGATGATACTCTACATAGAAGACCCCCTAAACTCCATTGAAAGACTCTTAGATACAATAAATAAATTCAGTAATATAGCTGGATACAAAATCAATACTCAGAAGTCAATAGCATTCCTATACACGAACAACAAACTCACAGAAAGGGAAATAAGAGAAACTACACTCTTCACATTAGCAAGCAAAAAAATGAGATATTTAGGAATTACTCTTACGAAAGAAGTGAAAGACTTATACAGTGAAAATTATAATACACTGAAAAAAGAAATTGAAGATGATCTCAGAAAATGGAAAGACATCCCCTGCTCATGGATAGGAAGAACAAACATTGTGAAAATGGCCATTCTCCCAAAACTGTTATACAGATTCAATGCAATCCCAATAAAAATACCATCAACATACCTCATAGATCTAGAGAAATCACTGCTAAAATTCATCTGGAACCAGAAGAGACCTAGAATAGCAAAGGCAATTCTAAGCAGCAAAGGCAAGGCAGGAAGCATCACAATCCCTGACTTGAAGTTATACTACAAAGCAACAGTAGTAAAATCAACATGGTATTGGAATCAAAACAGAGCCAAAGATCAATGGAATAGATTAGAAGATACAACAACAACTACAAACACTCAACCACCTTATCTTTGATAAAGGAGCCAAGCAGGTTCACTGGAAGAACGACAGTCTCTTTAATAAATGGTGCTGGAAAAACTGGCTCTCCATTTGCCGAAAACTAAAGCTAGACCCATGTCTATCACCATGTACTAAATTAAAATCTAAATGGATCAAAGATCTGAATATTAAAACAGAAACACTAAATCTATTGGAAGACAAATTGGGTAGAAACCTTGAAGACAATAGGAGTAGGTAGAGAATTCATGAACAGGACTCAAATCACACAGGAAATACTTTCCAGAATCAATAACTGGGACTACTTCTTATTAAAAAGTTTCTGCATGTCAAAAGAAATTTCCAGCATAGTGAAAAGAAAACCCACAAACTGGGAAAAGATTTTATTGAACTCTCTCTCAGACAAGAGACTTTTGTCTAAAACATATAAAGAACTAAAAAAACTCAGACCCCCAAAATTCAAAGATCCAATCCAAAAATGGGCATCTGAGATGAATACACAATTCTCAGATGAAGAAATACAAATGCCAAATAAATACATGAAAAAATGTTCATCATCATTGGTCATTAGAGAAATGCAAATTAAAACTCCTGAAAGAATGGCCAGGATCAAGAAAACCAACAACAACAAATGCTGGAGAGGCTGTGGGGAAAAAGGAACTCTCCTACACTGTTGGTGGGAGTGTAGACTGGTACAACCATTGTGGAGGTCAGTCTGGAGATTTCTCAAAAAGCTGAGATTGGAAGTCCCATTTATTCCAGCTATTCTACTTCTAGGCATATTCCCAGAAGAACTGAAAGCATCATACCACAGTGATGTATGTGCACCTAGGTTTATAGCAGCACAATTTGTAATCGTCAGATCTTGGAAACAACCCAAGTGTCCATCAACTGAGGAATGGATAAAAAAGTTGTGGTATTTCTATAGAGTGGAGTACTACTGAGCTATAAAGAGGATCACATTGAGATATTTATCAATAAATGGGCACAGATTGAGACCATACTCATAAGTGAAATAAATCAATCTTGCATGTGTGAATACCGAATAGTTTCCCTAATGTAAGTAATGATTCAAATACATAAAAATATGTGGTAATCATGATTCCCCATTTTGTAGCCTTGAAGCCTTATACAGTTTTCACTTATTAATTGGAATGGCTTTATTCTGGGCTGCTTGATGTTATTGCCTGTGATGAAATGAACACATATTTTGAAGAAAACAAGTCATCATAATAGCTAGTGCTGATTTACTATCATCTTGTTTTGAAGCCCCACCAAACTATGGCTTTTCTGTCTCCATTGGTTTTATCATGATATATCTTGCTGGATTTTATCATATGTGATAGTATAAACAAAAATTGTTATAGGCAAAGAGATAATATAGAAACCATTGTTCATTTTCTGTTAGCTGGTTCTAAATACCCTACAGTGCTTTCATCCACTTGAATGGTTTTACACTGACTTGATATGTTTGATGCTATAGTATATGGAGTTATATTCAAATATTTTAAGGAAAAAGACACTATGGTAACTACTATTAAGTCGGGTTATTTGGTGGTGAAGCACTAGGTTGCTAAAACTGTCATGCTTTGACCTGCATTGTTATATTGTTATGTCTTCTTTGATCTCAATCTCTCATTCATTAAAAAATTATTTGGTTATTTTCAATGATTTTTTTAATTAAGGGGAAAAATTTAAAAATTAGCAGGATGATTTATAGTAACTTTTTTGATTTGCTTTTAACTTGAAGTCCTGTAATACTCCCACTATCTTGTTTTGACTGATTAGACTCTATTCCATTCTGTATGATAGTATCAAGTTTGAGCATATAGGCAACTACTTTGAAGGCATAAGATTCACTATGATGCCCATTCTGGTTTGACTATTATCTTCTTTTAAAGTCCTGTAATGTTTACAAGGTTTAGATTTTATTGGTCTTGTTCTCTAGTGTTTTGTTCAACTTTATAATACCTAATGAGATAGTTCTTTTTAAGGAAGCAAGAGGCATTATGGTAACCGTTGTTGATAACCTTGTACTCTGTTCTTACATCATGTACTATGTCTATCCTTGGTTTTGACTGACAGCTTTGTTTTGCCATATTTGACTTTATTCTCTTCAAAAAAAAATAGCAATAAGAACTATGGAGTAATAAAACCCCAAATGTGTAAATTTTGTTGTAAAAAAGAGAGGGAAAAAAAGTGCTCTAAAGGATACAACTGCAAGTATGTTTAGGGGTGTTAAATAGATGACCATATTAATGTTTTTGTTTGGATCATTGAACACAACTGTTTGCAGTCTCACTGTTTGAATTCCAGTTTGTATGCTTTGATCCTGTGACTTGAGCAACTATCTCTAAGATGATAATATGTAATCTATTAACTGGTGATTTCTGTTTTTTTTTTTTTGTAGTTCTGTATTACTTGTACCCTTACACTGTTTTGTTTTATTTTTTCTCTTTTTCCTTTTAAATAAAAAAAGACACTATCACATAACAAAAAAGATATAAATAATTCCACCAACAGAAAGAAAATATAGAAAAAATGAGGCAGAAGCCAAATTTGAAGAGGTAATGGCTCAGAATTTTCCAAATCTCTGAAAACCATTAACTAACACATTCAAGAATCTAAGTAAATGCTAAGAAAAGTGAACAGAAGAAAATTCACAAAGATCTATCACAGACATGATACTGACATGATCCTTAAAAGGAAAAAAAGTACAACAAACTGACCGCATCAAAATTGAAAGTATTTGCCTTATGCAAGATGTTAAAACTATAAAAACCAGGTGTTTGCTGAAGTGTTTGTAGACGATATATTTGACAAATATTTGTAACTAGAATATAAAAAGAACTCTCAAAACTCAACAGTAGAAACACAATTTAATTAGCAAATGGGGAAAAGGTGCAAGCTATGATTTATCACAGAGGATTTACTGACAGCAATAAGCTCATGAAAATATATTCACCATTGTCAGTCATTAGGGTAATGCAAATTAAAATAACAAGGAGAGATTTTTACATAATTAATATGAGTTTAAATTAAAAGTACTGTTAATGTCAAATGCTGAAAAAGAATGCAGAGAAGTGATTTCTTATATTGTTGATAGGAATGTAAACAGTACCCACTCTGGAAAATAAACTCTTAAAAAATTAAACCTACACTTACTATATGACACAGCAATTACATCGTTGAAACTTTATCCCAAAAAAGTGAAAACTTACCACACAAAATCCGATGCTGCTTGATGGCATTCACCTGTAATCCCAGCACTCAAGGGGCTGATGCATGATGATCAAACCAAGTTCAAGGCCATCCAGGGCTGTATAGTGAGTTCCAGGCCTGCCTGAACTGAGTAGCAAGATCCTGTCTCAAAACAGCAAACCAAACAAGTAAACAAACAAGCAAAAAGAAAAAACCCCTCAAATCTAGACATTATTTGCAGTAGCTTTATCTGTAATATTCAAATGCAGAAGCAGCCTAAATGCTGTTCAGTAGGTGAATGACTAAAAGAACCCCAAGCAACAACAAATACTGACTGAGAAAGGAACAAAAACTGTGTCACAATACTCAGTAACATCAAAGAACAACTGATGCATGAAACAGTTGAATGGATGTTAAAGGACAAGGCTGAGTGAAAAAAGATGATCTTAGAATCACACTCTGTGATCCCGTCTGGACTTTCTCAGAAGGATAACATTCTTGGGATAGTAACTAGTGGCTGCCAGCAGTTAGGCACGGGGCTTGGAAGGGAAGGATCAGTACTGGAGGCCTTTGTGGGGAAGCAGCAATTATGAGTGTGGATTATGGCAGTGGTTACACAAATACCCAGGATGAAATTTCATAGTAGTATTTCCCTTGCACACAAACACACGTGCACACTCACACACACACACGCACACACACACACACATACACTCTTGCACTTGTCAAACTCATGAAATCAGAGTAAGACCTGTGGATTGTATAAATCTAAGTTTCCTGCCTTTGGTATCATCTTATAGTTATACGAGACATTCTTTTTGGGGAAATTGAATAGAGTACCCAGGACCTCTGCGCTATTATTTTTGCAAATTTCAGGAAATCTGTAATTTTTAAAACAGAGTTTTTAAAAGTTCAATAAATAGAATAAAGATGATCTCTGTTTTAGTTGCTGAGACATAGTGCCTGACATCCACAAAGTGAAGGAGAGGTTTATTTTGGCTCCCAGTCTGTAGAGGTCTCAGCTGTCTCACAGGAATGGTGGCAGGAAGTAGAGAGATCAAAGAGGCGAGCCTGTGACAAACTCCTCCAGACCCACTCAGTGCAGCAGGCTTTACCTCCCACCATCACATTTAGCTGTGTCCTGCCCCCGTGACCCAATCGCCTCTCCCAAGCCCCACCACGGGCTCATGAGGCTTTGAGGGGTATCTAGATAGAAACCATAACAATCTGTACAAGCTAATACAGGATGATGTCCGGTTTACCTTGTTTCATGACGAAAACAAAATGCAAAGAATAATATGCACTTTCTTTCTTTCTTTCTCTCTCTCTCTCTCTCTCTCTCTCTCTCTCTCTCTCTCTCTCTTTCTTTCTTTCTTTGAACCAGGGATCGAACTCATGACACTGCGCTTGCCAGGCAGGTGCTTGTGCCACTGAGCTACACCCTCAGCCCAATACATTGCTTTGCGCATGAGAAAAGGTGATATAATAAAATATCCATGTTTCCTTTTTTTATGCAGAAAGAAACACAGGGATGATAAACCAAAATAAATGGGTAGAGTGACCAACAGTAAGAGGATGTGGAGCACAGGATACAGAATAGGAGGAGGATGGGAGTGGGTAGGAAGTCGAGAGGGACTAGCTCTTTTCTAAGTGTAGAGTTTTGTGAAGTGTCTATTATTATAATCATAATGTCTTATATTTTAAAAATTTAAATACCTAAAATCAACTAGTGTAGGAGATGCACAAAAGAAACACAAACAGTAATAGATGAACCCATTTCTATTACAAATGAGCACTGTAACCAAGTTTAAGAAGGTAAACAGGAAAAAAAGAAACTAAGCAGTAAAACTAACCAGTGGGAAAGAGTATTTTGACAAATGCAGTCAATTTAGAACTCTGTAAGTTGAAAAAAAAAGAATGACACACAAATACTGTACTCTGGTTAGTAAGATTATTGTTTCAAGGTGTGTGAATTAGCAATTCCAAAACTACCCACATATTAAAATTGAGCCAATATGCAAATCAGCAGTGGATAATGAGAGCCAGCTCCCCAGAAGGAAAGGAAGGAGGCTGGAAATGATTCTGTGGAATTGGAATTGATGTTCAGGGCATCAGTAAGAACTGCCATCACACACACACACACACACACACACACACACACACACACGCACACGCACACGCGCACACACACACACACACACACACACACACACACGATGGATAGATGCAGACACAGGAAGATATGCGAGCACATTAGGTTTTCATTCCTCTAACAAATACCTGTAGTTGGGTAATTTATAAAGAAAAGTTTTATTTAACTTACTGTTTGGGAGACTGAAAGTCCAAAGAGCATGGTGCTGGTGAGGCCCCTCCAGCCATGTGGAAGGTGGCAAGGTGGCAAAGCACAGATGAGAGGGGGACACTGCACCACGAGACAGGACACCAGGGAGACCAGGGAGGGGCTAGCCAGCTTGGCCTTCCTTCCATCATGGCCCTTTGTGTATAACTGGGTCCCTGAGAGCTACCCGCTTCATTCCCCTTTTGATCTTTTCTCTCTCTCTTCTTTTTTTTTTATTGGTACCAGGGATCGAACTCACGACCACCTGCTTGCAAGGCAGGTGCTCATGCCGCTGAGCTAAAGCCCCAGCCCCTTGATATTTTCTAAAATAAGTTTTAATAGGAAGCATTACTATCATAGCCTTATTATACTAACATATACCTTATTGTTGGTATTATTGGTATATATTGGTATATGTTGGTATTGTTGGTATATAATATTGTTGGTATCAACATTATTGTTGAGGGTTGGCACCCCACTGCGCAGAGGGAGAATTATCACCAAAGAAACTTACGTTGTTGATGTCTCCCATGTTGATCTTCAAGCTTCGGCTGTGCATAGACTTGTCAGCTTCTGGACTGACCACAGCAGGACTGTTGATTCCCCAGTCACCAGCTGTCAGTGTCAACCTTCACACTGACTGGTGTGTAGATTAGTCAGTAGGGGCTGAGTGCCTACAGGAGGGGCTGAGTGGCTGGATTGCTGAGCACTTCGAATCCAGTTCTGAGGAAAACGTTTTCCATGCTGCCACCACTCTGGAACACAGTGCTGTCACCCCTGTTCTGGAACATGGTGCTCTGTTTCTTTCTTCTCAAAGCAACTTCTTTCACTTTTGCAATCTTGAGGCCGCAAAAGGTGGAGACTTTCTGCTTCTTGTGATCCCCCCAAGACATCAATTTCTGTTCTCCTGTTAGTTTTCCGCAATAAAGATCTCCTCCGCTCTATCTTTGCTGTCCATAGTTTTACTGGATCTTCCTTTTCAGCCAAACTTACTACATTTTAATCATCCTACTGGGTTTTTTGCTCTTGATTCTGAACATATATTTGGCTAAAATCCCCAACAGTAACCGAGTCATTGCTTCAACATTAGAGTGCCTTGAAATTTCTTCTGCCAGATTCATTACTCTGCCACTCTTTTTTTGTTTTTGTCTTTTTTTTTCATTTTTATCGGTACCAGGGATCGAACTCACAACTGCCTGCTTGCAAGGCAGGTGCTTATGCTGCTGAGCTAAATCCCCAGCCCCTACTCTGCCACTCTTAATCTCAGTCTCAGGCAAAGTCTCTGGACATGAGCAAAATGCAGACATAATTTCTGCCAAGCCATAACACACTTCATCTGGAGTCCAACAGTCAATGCAGTCCTTCCCAGCAGAACCATCCTGAGCCCGGTCTTTACAGGCAGGATTTCTATTAGCCTTCTGGTCTTTTGAGCTTTGACCAGAATCTCCCATACTGAACAGTCTAAGGTGTTCTAGCTCTAATTTTTCAACTGGCATCTCCAAACCTTTTTAAACTCTTCCCACAAGCCATCCCCAAAGGCTTCTGAACTACATAGTCATGTATAAATGATTCCATTTCTCTGGTACCAAATTCTGCCTTGGTTACTTTTCTCTCATTGTTGAGAAAAAAACACCCAACACCCACAAGTTAAAGGAGGGAAGGTTTATTTAGCTCACAGTTTGTGGAAGTTTTAGTGTGTAATCAACTGACTCTAAGGCACAGGGTGTGGCAGAGGGGCACCATTCATGGTAGCAGAAGACAGTAAATGTAATAATAGAGGAGGGGTCAGCAAGCCTCTGTCTGTCCCTCATATTGTATGGAGGTCACTCAACCTAAGGCAGGTGTAGCATTCAGACTCCCAATCCCAGCACTAGATCATGAACCAGTCACAAACTCTACATTCAGCTACCTGCAAAAAGCCTCCCCCCACAACCACATGATGTTTTGGGAGGACATCCAGACACAAATCATAACAACACTGTTTTTGCATTTCTACTGTTGTTTTTCTCATTGTATCATGTCCTCTTGTATGTGCCATTGTAGTTTTTGTGTTGCCAATTTTGCTTGCACTTTGACCTGGCATGTAACCCTGTCAACCGTTTTAATCCCTCTATCTTTCACCTGTCAGTGAGGCCCTGCTGTGTTATGCTTGGCATGTGCTGGCGCCCTTTTGTCGTCCTCAGTCCCTGAGTTGCCTCTGTCTCACCATGTGCTGCCCCAGCATGCTCATGTGTTTTCTTTCTCTGTCCATAGTCACTTCTGGGCAATCTCTTGGGCCAGCTATTGCCGCTGATCTGACTCTTATTTAGTTTACTCCTGCAAGTGTTGTATTTCTTTTATCTTTTCCTTTGCTTTGAGTTGTTTGACTTCTTCCACCACAGCCTTGTACTGCATTGTGGCTTTCTCTTTGGGTGTCTGGCTCCTTTGCATATGGTTTTTGGCCTCACAGCACCATGGATCTTTTGGGGGTGAGTCTTTTGGCTGTCAACTCTTGCTGGAAAGCAACCCCCAGTTTTTCTGGGTGTTGCTGTGCAGTGCGTTCTTCACATCACTGTGAATGCGTCCCAGTTCCAGTTCTAGCTCTGTCTGGCTGGCAGTAGCTTTTTCAAAGCTCATTTCAGTGCAAAGATCTTTTTATTCACTAAAGTTGCCTCAGTGTCAGCGAGCTCTCTTTATTTGGTCGAGCTCACTGTCTGATGCTTTGTGTAGTGGGGCAAAACACTCCTCAATGTCAGCCTTGTGTTTTGTTGTCTTTTTTTTTAATCCCTGTAATTTGGGCCTGTAGTTTTGGAATAGGCCCCTTTTTAGCAAGGGAACTGGAAAATTTGGAAGATATGGATACTTGGGTTGGACCTCTTTTTTTATGTTATACCTCTCAGAGCAGAAAAATGACCTCTTTTTGGGACTCCAGTGACTCTAACAACAGTCATATGATTTTTGGATAATGACCCAATAGTCTGTGTCATTACTAAGTATTCAATTCTACTATCTACCAGAAAAATCCATGAATTGGCCCTTTACTTTTTTATTGTGACCGCAGGCTTCTGGGTATCTACAGGGCTGGCACCTGGTCTGGCCTAGTCCTGGTAACCCTTTGTTCCTATCAGTACAGTGAGACCAGAATCTGGTTTTTTCCT